GCAACATAATTTTGCTACTGTTATGAATCATGATGTAAAAAATTTCAAAGATAGAGGTTTGTCAAAGGGTTCATGGCCATAGCTTGAGAACCACTGCCACAGAGCAAGTTAAAGGAAGCCAACACAACTTAGAGCTCGTCTTTTGAAAACTAGTGCCCCCCTATGGAGCCTCTGGTAGTGGATCAGTATTTTTCCCTGGTGTAAGAAGGGACTTTGAGAGCCCATCCCACATGAAGGGATGCTCTCTTGGCCTGGACACATGGGGGAGGGCCTAGGCCCTGCCCAGGATGATGTTGTGGAATTTGGGGGATCCCCTGTGGAAGGCCCTACCCTCCATGGGGAGTGGAGGGGGGAGGAAGGGGGGCTGGTGGAGGGTTGGGGGACAGGGGAGAGAAGGAGAAGGGATTGACATGTGAAATTATAATTTTGTAAAAATTAAATAAAAATATTAAAAAATTTTAAAAAACTAGTGCCCTTTCCTTATCTTCCTGAGGAATCATGTCCTGTTCATGATGCTATGCAAAAATACTGTTGTATTAGCCAAATCCTTAAAAAATGGCCTTAAATCCTTAGCTTAGTATTGGCATAGAAAATGGATCATCTAATGTACCAACATGTACATAGAAATAAACATAATAATTAGCAATATGGCTCATGAGACAAACTGACGGTTGATTCACTTAACTAGAATTGGAAATTTTAGGGGATGGGGAGATCATTTCATTAATAAAGTGCTTGCTTTGCCCACATGAGGGCTTGAGTTTGATTCCCAGAACTACTGGTTTGAAAAGTCAGGTTGGGGAATAGGAAGGTGAAGACAGGCGATTCTCTAGGAATTATCAGTCAGTGAGACTGGCTAATTGGTGAGGTTCAGGCCAGTGGGAGCTTTTGGATCAAACATTTAGTTGAAAAGAGGGAATATGGATTATATGAGCAACCGGTAGGGGAGGGGAGGAGAACGATTAGGATCATGATGGGGACCCACAGAGACAGCTGACCAGAGCTCATGGGAGCTCATGCACTCTAGATAGACAGATGTGGAGCCTTCATGGGACTGAACTAGGCCCTCTGCATGAGGGTGATAGTTGTGTGGTTTCTTCTGCATGTGGATGGTCTTTTTGTGAGACCCCTGGTAGTGGGACCAAGATCTATCCTTGGTAAAGTGGCTTTTAGGAGCTCATTCCCTATGGTGGGATGCCTTGCTCAGCAAGAAGGGGCTTGGTTCTGCCATAACTTTATTCGTCAGGCTATGTTGACTTCCTATGGGAGGCCTTGCCCTTTCTGAGGAGTGGATGGGGAGTTAGGGGAGAGCAGGAGGAGCAGAGGGGGGAACTATGGTTGGTATGTAAAATTATTAGAAATTTAAAATAAAAAATAAAAAAACTAACAAATAAATAAGGTACATGTATCTGCACACATGTGTATGTGGCATGTAATGTGGCACATGCATTTATTTAATGTGTATGGGTGTTTGTACATGTATGCATGGATGCACACAGTTGAACATAGTAGTGAAGTCACATTTGAAGCTAATGTACTTGTATCTAAGTCAATTATATTTCTTCCTTAGCTATGGCTAATATAAACTAATGTGGCATTTTAACATTAGATATGTATTTTAGCAAAGAATGTGCATGTTTCACTACATAGAAGGTAAATTTTTTTCTGAAGAAACTACTCACAATCCCTAGAAGAAAAGGTATTAAGGGAAAGGAAGAGAAAGAAAAGACCAAACTCTTGACTTCACTGCAACTTAAATGTGAATGGAACTTTGTTCACGGAAACATCATTATTTGAAAGTTGTGGCAATGTAATTCAGAACAAAGTGATCCTCTAAATAAAATGGGTCAGCCTCAGGCAGGAGTTTGAATATGGTAGTGAAGAAGGAACCTTCTGGGTGCAACTGTACTTTGACCCATTCCATGTTATATTAATATTTAATTACATGATGATTATAAGCATATGTTTTCCAAAGTGAACAGTTGAGTCACTTACTATTGGTGGGTCCATCCTTGAAGGAAATTAGTCCATTCCTAGTTGATGGCCAATGCTCTCTACTTATGTTTTATTTTGTTTTAATATTTTTGTACAATTTTAAACATTTATTTTTTATGTATTTAATGTATATGGATTTTTACTTGCAAGTTTGTCTGTATATCACACACATGTTTGGTACCTACAGAAGGCAGAAGAGGGCATCAGATGCCCTGGGACTGGAGTTGGAGATGGTTGTGAGCCTCCATGTGGATGCTGGGAGTTAAACATGGATCCTCCATAAGAGCAGCTAGTGCTTCTAACCACTCAGCCACCTTCCCAACCCTGTGCTTATGTTTTCAAATGAATATGGAAATAAAACTTCCACTTTGACCTTATCATTGGTATTGTCTGCCATTCAAGAACCATGGTATGATATCTTAAAAACCATCACTCAGTAAATAAAACCTTCCTGTGTGTGTGGTGGTGGTAGGGATTGAGCAACCCAAGGAAAAGTGAGGGGACAGCTGTTGCTGCTCCTGCTCTGAAAGCAGTTTGGGATTGTTTTACTCCACGGGACACTTTCATTTTCCTTGGCTGTGTGGGTAAGTCTACTTTCTTCTAGTATCCTCTATTCAGTCATCAGATAATCAACAAATAAGACCACTGTTCAGTAGGCTCCAAAGGCAGTGCCTAAATTAAGCTGGTTTTATTTAATGTGTAAAACGACTTTGACATCTTTTTATATCTAGAAGGTCTTTTAAACTATTACATCGGTATATTAGAGAAAGGCCCACTTTCCAGGAGAAGCCACAAGAAGAGCAGCTATTAATTTTGCTGAAAGCCAAACTGTGCTCACATCCCAACACTGCACATTACAGTGACTTGGCATTGAGGCAGGAAAATTTAAATGTAAAATATTGTAGAACAACATGCTAGTCTACTGATATACTAAAGGTAAGGTAAGGCAAGTTAGATATGAGTGAATTTAAAATGCAAGGAGAGATGGAAGGAAAATCCTCAGTGGGACAAGCTAGGTCTGGGTCACGCAGTGATCTTTACCTTTCCAGATGTGTACCATGAAAACACCATGACAGTGATTTAAGACACAGAAGTCAATGCGCATGGCTGAGTATTTGCTTTATAGCCAGGCTGTAAGTGCCTCCTTGGAGGACTTCATTCTCAGAGTGGCTTTAAAGCTTGGAAGCTCACTGATTCTAGACACTGCTTCATGTTTCTTTCCCCTGCCCCCATCTCCTTTCTGTGTGCTGTGTGCTGCATGCATCCATCATGGAACACAGTTTCCCTTCCAACCAAGGGAACACTAATTTGGGGAGAAATTTCTCACTACTTAAGAGTCCTGCCAAACAATCTGCAAATGGGAAGGCATTTGGTGACTGTGACCGTTATTGGCAACTTCTGAAGGATTAGGTAATAGGGAAGCAGTGATGAGCAGCCTGTGTCCTGACTCCTACATTGCATTAGGTCTGCTTCTGCATATTCATTAACAATGGTGTGGCCTGTGAATGCAATTTTGTGTTCCTAACACTTTGGCCACTGGCAATGTTGTGCACCCCTGTTTCCTGTGCCTTCTCATCTGCTGCTTATAGCCATTCAGATTCAGGTAACAGAAATATTTTAGATAACAGTTAATTAGCCTGCATTTTGCAGATCAAATCTCTAGAGCTCGTCATTAAATGGAAATTGCCTGGGTAACTGCTGAAGGGAGTTTCTTCTTGTCCTTCCGAAGATTTAAAATCCAAGATTTATTTTCTTTTCTAACAAAAGAAAATGTTAGTATTCACTGAACAGTTTAGACATAGATTCTATCAAACTTCTCCCTGCATTCCCTTACTCACATCAGACTTTATCTATGTATATGAACCAAAAATTCGAGGGAGATTGGAAATACCTTGCCAACCAAAGGACAGAGTGAAAATAATGCTGAATTACAAATCTGTCAGTGTCTAGACTCTTACTAGCCCAATGTTCATCGAATTGCAGAACTTTCCTCAGTCTCCCAGTCTTTAAAATGGGGCCATTTTCACTTATTGCCCCACAAATATCTTGTAGAAGATGGCACAAGTTGGTATGACAAAAGCAGTCTACAAAATGCCAAGCCTTTGTTGTTTTATAGACCTTGTCTCCTGCTTTACTATCAAACCTCCTCATTGTTATCTGTCAGCAATGAAGACCCCAGTTTCTTTGTTGAAAATATGTTCAGATTTTTTTCAAATCCATAAAACCTAAACCCCTACTTGTTTATTCTTAAATAAAGAGAGCAGAAGAGTGCTCAACACAACACTCACATATCCAGTCTCTGAGCCCACATCATACAAGCAAGATAGGGACAAAGAATCCACAGACAAGGCTCCCTATTGTATGCTCTCAGTAATTCCAGTGGTTCCCAATATCAAGACTGCCAGCCACTGTTCTTGACCCATGGCTTCTGTACTAGCTGCACTTTTCAGTAAAAGGAAGTCAAAGGCATGTGCTTTTCCTCATACCACAAAGCCCTGGCACGCCTCTGAAGAAGTAGAAAAGAGCAGCAGCTGCTGTTTTTGTTACAGGCTTTCTGAGTTTCCCATGGGAGTTTAAGACAGTGGCAAGTCTGGGCCCCACCCCCATCCCTTTCTTCAGTCTGGAACCCTGTCCAAGGATCGCTGTCCAAGGTTCTGAACCCCAACTTTCAGGGGTCTGGAATCCACGAGGTTTCTCTCAGCTTTTCAAAACAAGACCACTAGCCCGCCCCCCCAACCCGGCTCCGCCCGCGCCGCCGCGCGCATGTTATCTCCACATTCTTCCCTCGATCCACGACCCCTCTAACTTCGCATTTTATTTCCGTCTGCATTTAAAATGTCTTATTATATTTCGACTGAAGTCCTCCAACCTACCACCTAGGGACATAGTCCAAGCCCCAAAGGTTATCAAAGTTAAAAAGCCCCATGCTTCATCCACACTCCTTCTCCCACTCTGGTCCCATCTCCCAGCAGCGCACATCACTCCACGCGTCAGATTCTTCTCACCTGACTCTCCCGCGGAAACTCGTGGCGCACTATGCTCAGCACTGGGATGTGCAGGACAGAACTGACCAAGTCTAGCTCCATCATCTCACCCTGGCTCTGGGGAAAGGCCAGCAGCGCCGAAACCCCTTGTACCACTACTGTGTGGCACACGCTCTGCAGAAAGGAGAAAGGGTCACTGCTCCACGGCGAGCTTGGGGAAGAGAAGGGCATAAGTGGCAGATCGCCCAGGCCCGCCTCGATGGCCATCACTACTTCCAAAGACAGATTGTATGGTAGTAGCCCTTCCACACGGTTCAGGTTGTCCACGGCGAACAGGAGGGCATCCCGCGGCCACAGGGTCTCGGCCCC